ATGCTTTCAAGCCTTTTCATATTGCTTTGGGAGTAGGTGCACAGAACCGGTGCGGCATAGTCTATGACGGAGCGCACATAGGCTGTGTATATCATTTTAAGCACGGCAATAGAGGCTCCATGTCCATTCCAGGTCATAGCTTTCAGTGCCCTGAGTCGACTTTTGCATGTTCCTATGAGTTGATTGAGCTCCTCTTTCTTCCACTTGTTAGAGCCGACAGTGTCGCCAAGATACCGATAGTGGTCAACCCATTTAGGTGTTACACCATTAATTTGCAGTTCTTCATTTTCTCTCCGCTTGTGATGGGAGTATGCCTTCGTCTTGTTTGTGGAGAGAGTGAAACCGAGTTCAATACATTTCCTTCCAAGAAGTTCAATGGACTGTTAAATTTTTCCCAAGGTGGGAGCTTGTATTAGAACACCATCTGCATATCCCACTTGTTGTGTTCCTTCCGGAAAATCAATATTTGCAATGACGTTCATAAGTACATTGAATAGTGTAGGGCTTAAGACCCCGCCTTGGGGGGTCCCGAGTTCCATATTCATTTTTCTGGAGGATAGCCCTAGAATATACATATATAACTCAGCCTATAGCTGGAACACTAGAAACATCAGTATTACACAGTCATTCCTGTAAGTATATAAAGCTCTGTCTGTGGCTGTGACACTAGAAACATCTGCATACATATTCCTCAACACAAAAATGGTCAACCTCTCACCTTCCACTGCGTCTTGCACGGCAATGACATTCAAGCTCTCTCCCAATACATTAAAAGTAGTCACCATGAACCTCTGCTCTTCATCTAGAGGCTCACTACCTGTATATCTCAAGGTTATCCCAGAACTGTCTACAAGGGTCTTCTGCTGCTCTCCCAGACTGCTACACCATGAAGTTTTCCTCGAACACCAGTGATGCTCCACCACTGATTCCACAGACACGTGTAACTCCACTTCCTGTTGCTTCACACAGCTTCAGGTCCAGCTCCTCTCTATGGGGACTCTGCTCTTCCACAGAGTTCAGTTATCCTTCTACAGCCTTGGAGTTCTATCCACAAACTTTTTCCCTGGCCTCGAAGTTCTCCCATCAACTCCTTCCCCAAACAAACCTGCAATTCGCTTTGGCATGCCAATAAAAATGTTTCCCTACTAACATATAACTAAAATATATTCACACACAATAAGTATCTTCACTCGACATCTTTTTAAATTCCCGCACGCTGCGAGGGGGGACTCCCCCACGTCTTAGGCGAGGCCATACTCGATGTCGCTGGGAGCCGGCGCAGTCAGGAGCTATGCTCCCTCAGTCACCCACTGACCTCTGTCGAGGGAGGACGCACCACTCCTCTCTCTAGGATGTTCCTCAATCTTTACTCTCTTATTTAAGCTCACTGCCTTAACAAAACGTATCTAATGTATCCATAAACACTTGCCATGATCGATGGTCACACGATGAATCACAGGCAACCACTAACAATTGGTGAAATAGACTTACCACAGAATTTGCCTTATTTGAGGGCACTCACTCGCTGACGCTCAGACAGGCCTTCCACGAAAATGCTTCAGGACTGCTTCACAACTCTTCCTGCAGTCCATGACTTGAGCCCACACGTCTCCAGACTGATTACACAACCGAAATGTCTGCTCACTTCCTTCCTTTTGAAGGTATATCAATTAGGGTGTTCTTCTCTATCTAGTGCTTAATGGAGCACGACCTTCCCTCACGATTTCTGCTGCTCAAGTGACCAGCGAGCCTCATACCTTGTCAGCAAAAATCTCTACATCTCATGTCAAGTCATTTATTTACATATTTATTCACTGCTTATGCTTCTAAACTATTCGTCAATATTAGCCAAGTGTTTAATATGTATTTACATGTCTATATTTCCTTTGACCTCTCAGTTGAGTCTGGTTTGGTTAATAACTCTCACAAGGGGTAGACTCGTTTCTCAGGCTACCTGGGGTTATAACAGGCTGAAAATCCCATAACACTGCAGGCTGCTAAACTATGCGGACGACTTTGTTATCATCATAAAAGGAAGGGATGCGACGCACCTTGCACCCAAAGGCTTAGACTGCATCAGTGAAGAGGCTAAGCAGATTGGTACCAAACTCAACCCCCACCAAGACAAAAGCCATGTCCTGGTGGGGTTTAATAATTTTGTATTAATATTTTTTGTTAATATTTTTTATAAGTCCAAAGAATAGTGAAGCCCAACAACCAACTCACAGTACAGGGTCAACCAACTGAATGGGTGGACACTTATCAGTATCTAGGAATAATCCTGGACACACACATGAATTTTAATGCTGAGGTCACTTACTTGAGAGAGCGAACTGCAGTCAAGATGGCAATCCTCAGGTCGCTAACCACCAGCTCTGGAGGAGCCAATCTGCAAATCCTTTACACATATTATGTACAGGCAGTCAGCTCAGAGAACGACTTTGTAGCACTTCACTCACAAGCATATCACAACAACAGTGGAAAAAGCTTGCAGTAGGACAATCCAATGCTATGAGAGCTGCTCTGGGAGCCCCTAAGTGGACCTAACTTGAAACTCTAAGACTGGAAACGGGTTTGCCCTCTTTTCAAAAAAGCATATTTCAATGAATAACTATGATTATCAGAGATATTTTTTCCCCTGATCCACTCCCAGTACGACAGGCCTTGGTGGCAGGACTTGGCCAAAACAATGGTAACTCTTGGGCTGCCAGAGCGGGAGAAGTTCTAAACAGACTTCAATTAAAAAGCATGATTCTTGACACAGGAGGTGATCATCCACACCCAAACTACACTTGTTCCCAACCGTGGGAAGAGCCTACTTTCCAAATAATAATAGAAGGTCTTCTGATGAAAAAGGCTGTCTATGACCCAACAATCATAAGGCGCATCATAGAAAAGCAAATGAGCAGCATTGCAGTAGCAGGAGCCACTCGCATCTTCACAGACGGATCGGTGGACAAATAATACAAGAGTGCTGGCGCTGCTCTTTGCACGGACAGCGAACAGGCATATTGGAGACTGGGAGGACCAGTATTATCGACCCAAACTGAGATATTTGCCATACAACAGGCATTCGCATATGTCATTACACAAAACACTCAAAATGCAATAAAACGCACAGACTCAAACACTGCACTTCAAATATTACGAAAAAGGTAATGGAAAGACAACATGGAAATAATTGCCACAATTTTGTATCCTGGAGCAGTAGCTAAAGGCAAAGGACTCAACATCACCCTAAACTGGATCTCATCCCATATTGGAATCCCATAAAATGAGAAAGCCGATGAAACTGCTAACTTGGCAACTCGTCATCCAGTGATATATATAACAATCCAACCCAGCCTAGAGTACATAAGAAACATCCTCACCAAAACACTCGCACACCTCAACAAAGCCCATCTACAACAAAAAATAACAGAAGGTTCACCCTTTGCAATATGGTATCTTCAGGTTATCTTGAAGTTAGACAGGTTAAATATCCCAAAACGAATCCACAGGGAGATACTAGTAGTAGGCATCCTTCAGTCTCGGGAGACTCTGGAGTTGCGCCCTAGTTGTCAATCCTGGTGCAGCGACTGGTGTGACTGATGAGGCCAATCCGAGAGTGGCAGTCCTTCCCACACCGAGCACAAACGAAGTCCGATTCTGGTCTGTCTTCCTGGCTACCGGCTTTCCTTCTCTGTCTCTTTGCCTCCGATTCCTTGGCAAGTGACTCCTCGAACTTGGTGAGACCTCTTTGAACAGACTGCCTCCATGCTGAACGATCTGCAGCCTGTGTCTCCCATATAGCTAGATCGACGTCCATGGCTTTCAGGTCCCTCTTGCATACGTCTTTGTACCGTAGCTGGGGCTTGCCTGTTGGACGCTTTCCCTGCCTCAGCTCTCCGTACAGGAGATCCTTGGGGATCCTGCCGTCGCCCATTCGCACAACGTGCCCGAGCCAGCGCATTCGTCTCTGTTTCAGCATTGTGTACATGCTGGTGATTCTTGCTCTCCCCAAGACGTTGTTGTTTGTCACCTTGTCCTGCCAGGTGATGTCCAAGATGTGTCGAAGGCAGCGCATGTGGTAGGCATTCAACTGTCTTTCCTGACGGGCGCGGAGTGTCCACGACTCACTGCCATAAAGGAGAGTGCTCAGGACACAGGCTCTGTAAACCTGAATCTTAGTATACTCAGTTAGCCTATTGTTGGTCCACACTCTCTTTGTCAGTCTGGACATGGTAGTAGATGCCTTACCAATGTGTTTGTTTAGCTCCGTATCAAGAGAGAGGGAGTCAGAGATTGTGGAGCCCAGGTACACGAAGTCGTGAACGACTTCCAGTTTGGAATCAGAGATGCCGATGTCAGGTGGGGAGTCCACTCCTTGTCCCATGACTTGCGTTTTCTTCAGGCTGATGGTGAGTCCGAAAGCCAGAGAGGCCTCGCTGAAGCGGGTTATGAGCCGTTGGAGGTCTTCAGCTGAGTGGGCAGTGACTGCCGCGTCGTCAGCAAAAAGGAAGTCGCGCAGACACCTCAGCCGAACCTTTGTCTTGGCTCTCAGCCTGGCGAGGTTAAAGAGCTTTCCATCCGACCTGGTCCGGAGGTAAATGCCTTCCGTGACAGATCCGAAGGCGTGCCGCAGCATAACTACGAAGAAAATCCCGAATAGGGTTGGATCCAGTACGCAGCCCTGCTTTACTCCACTTTGGATGTCAAAGGCGTCTGATGTTAGGCCATCAAAGACCACGGTGCCCCTCATGTTCTCATGGAAAGATCTCATGATGCTGAGGAGCCTGGGTGGGCATCCGATCTTGGGGAGGATGTTGAACAGGCCATCCCTGCTGACGAGGTCGAAGGCCTTCGTCAGATCTATGAAGGCTACGAAGAGTGGCTGCTTCTGTTCCCTGCATTTCTCCTGCAGTTGTCTGAGGGAAAAGACCATGTCGATGGTGGACCTGCCAGCTCTGAATCCACAGGGAGATAGCAGTTCAATTATATAGATTACATCTATGTTACAGCTGCTTCTGGGAAATTCGTGAACCCAGAGAGTGGGAATGCATCTTCTGCCAAACAATCACAGAAAAGTCACTACTTGACTATGTCATAGAATGTGAAGCAACCAACAACCTTAGAAGAGCTCTAATAGTCCCTAAATCATGCAGTAACCACCATAAAGCCATCAACACTGGAGCAAAGGTTTCCACACTGCAGTCTACACTAAGGAAACAAGCATAGGAATGTGCCTCAATGCCAACAGTGACTGCCAAGACATGTACAAGAGGAGTGTTGTTAGTGCTTATGTCGACAGTGCTCTCAGGCACAGCTCAGGATGGAAGCAAGTCGACGAAGAACTCTGTAGGGTAAGGCAGGTCCTAGTCAACAACGGCTTCTCCAATGGTTTCGTTGAAGACATCATAAGAAGGAAGGTGAAACGCCATGCAACCTCTGAAGAGACAACTAACACAACACCTGTACCCCCTATTAGACTATTTAACAGGAACTTCTTTTCCACAGTTCATAACACGGAGAACAGGGTCCTGAAAGATATTGTTAATAGGAACGTTATTCCTACAGACAAAAATCAGAAGATACAATTGACGATTTACTATAAAACCAAAAAAACGGCCAGCCTACTCATGAGAAACTCTCCAGACACAAAGCAGAACGCTTTAAAAGAGACCAACGTCGTCTATGCCTTCAAATGCCCACTTGGGTACTGTAAACCTCAAAGAACTCAGTATATAGACAAGACAACAACATCTCTTTCCAGGCGATTAACGATGCATAAGCAACAGGGCTCCATTAAGGAACATATAATCTCTTCCCACAACCAGACCATCACCAGAGAATTCTTAACAAACAATACAGAAATCATCGATAGATACAGCGATAGCAGGCGGCTTGACATCTGCAAGGCACTACACATCAAGAATTCAACACCAGCAATCAACAGCCAATTAATGCACAACTATATTCTACCCACTTCAAGACTCCGCACCAATATAGAAGCATCAAGAAATGTGGGCCAATAGGCCCTTTGCATTTACTTCCATTCTTCCCTTTAATTTACCCAATTTATACCCAATGCACCATGTTCTGTCTTGTGTTGAAAGTTTGCTCTATCTTGTGGTGAAAGTTTTGTTCACCTCATCCATAACTGTTGTAACATATCACCTCACCCAAATGCGGGTATATAAGATGAATTATTGACTTAGTTTAGTTTGTGACGGGAAAGTGTTGGAGTGTTGATGTTCGGCAGTCCTGCAATGGCAGGTGTCAAAGCCTGGTCACACTTTAAACAAAAATATAGACTGCTTGCCTGTTGTCTGTGGTAAGTTAGAGGGAGGAACACGTAAAACACAAAATATGAAAAATGAAACATTAATATATTTACTTTAAACATAAATGAAAACAAAGACAGATCTCGGGAAGTTAAATTACAGTTAAATAATAAAGAAAAATACAAAGACAATGTGAAATACAAAATTACAATGTTAAAATGGTGCTGAGAATATCGGCTATGGCTGAAAGCTCCCTTCGTATACGAGCTAATGAGCGAGTATGCCAGAGAGAGATGTCAACCATAAGAGCACAAGGAATATTCTGAAGTAGGAATATTCTGAAGTGGATAGCTGGTCAGGCTCAGACGTCGATTCATGTAGAGGGCGCTGTGGTGCTGTGTGCAGGTGCGCAGCTGGCGAGTCACCAATCAAAGCAGGCAAGCTAGTTTGATGACGAGCCGGCGCATGGAGGGTGTGTGGAGTGGGGGGATCTTGGATACGTTTTGCCTACTGGTCAAAACGTTTTGTGCTACTGGTGACGTATCTTGAATGTAGCATCTTATACTTGTGTCTTTGGCGTAACTTGAAGTAGGGAAGAGCAGGCTCAATCTCTCTTGAAAGAGATTATCGTCACAACTGTCCCCCGAAGCCTGCGGTTCCGGGTGAGGTTACGTCTTCAGGTGGTAGAGTGGTAGGTGGAGCAGCCTCTACCTCATAGATTCTGGAGAGGGCGTCTGCGATGATGTTGTCAGAACCCTTGATGTAGAAGATCTCCAGGTTGAAATTCTGCAGATATAAAATCTTCTGCATCGTAGAAGCCGTTGGTTGTTGAATTGGGCTTGCTGCAGGAAGCGTAGGGGATTGTGGTCCGAATAGATGGTGATAGACCGAGCACTTTGCAGGTACGGTTCGAAGTGCTGCAGTTTCAGGACGATTGAAAGTAGCTCCTTCTCGATCGTGCTGTAGTTCCTTTGGTGTGGCTTTAATTTATGGCTGTAGTAGCTACAAGGCAGAATCTCCTCGCCTCGTTGTTGCATCAGGACACCCCTGATGCCGGTACCACTGGCGTCGACATGGAGGATGAAAGGCTTCGTTATATCTGGCGAGGCGAGAATAGGATTAGAACATAGCAGGTATTTAAGTTGTTCAAAAGCAACGGTTTGCTGAATAGTCCAATGATACCGTTGCTTGGGGCTGGTTAAAGTGATCAATGGTGTCGCCACCGTACTAAAGTTCTTCACAAACCTACGGTAGTAGGAGGCAAGACCAAGGAAGCGCAGGAGCTGCTTCCTGGTGGTAGGCTGTGAGTAATGCAGGATGGCTTGGGTATGTATGTTTAACGGAGCTATGCTGACACTCCCTATCTCATGACCAAGATAACGCACTTTACATTTGGCAAAGGTGGACTTGCCCAAGTTGATGGTGAGGCCGGCTGACAGGAGCTTGGCAAACAACCGTTGCAGCTGGAGCAGATGTTCGCTCCAGGTGTTGGTTGCCACAACGATATCATCCAAGTAGGCGTAGGTGTTATCCAAGCCCTGGATGACGCGGTTGACAGCTCGCTGAAAGGTGGCCGGGGCATTACATAGTCCAAAGGGAAGGCGTTAGTATTTGTAAAGGCCAAAAGGAGTGGTAAAGGAGCACTATTATAGTCCTGTAAATTGGGATGAAGATCAGGTAGGATTTCCGATTTGGAAAGCACCAATTCAGTGTTAATGCTTTCGGGAGAAGCAGGGAAGGTTTCACTGTGGAGGTATGGACTTTTAGATGTAGAGACAGATAGCAGCACAGTAGGGGGAATACCTTGATACTGCTTCAGGAGGTTGACGTGGCATAACTGGGTCCTCCGCCGCCTATCTGGAGTCTCAAGAACGTAGTTGTGATTGTTTCTGCACTCCTTGATGCGGTAGGGTCCTGAAAACTTGTTTTGCAATGGAGAACCTGGGATAGGAACGTATGCCAACACGAAATCTCCTGGTTTAAATTTCCTTAATTTGCTACTTTGGTCAAAATGAGTCTTCATCCTCTCCTGGGCTTTCAATAGGCTGTCATTAGCCAATTTACATACTCTCTCTAGAATGTGTTTTAAGTTTTGAAGAAACTGAGGCACATTCTGATGGTCACTGAAGGTGGCATTACGTAGAGAGTCCTTGAAAGCTTTGAGAGGAGTACGGCACTTACGTCCGTAGAGCATCTCATAAGGAGATACTCTTAGTGACTCATTGGGGAGACTTCGAAAAATGCACATTATGAGATCAAGTTGTCTATCCCAGTCCTTCAAGGTGTCATTGCAGAATTTCTTTAGGAGTGCTTCAACAGTCTGATGACTACGTTCAAGAGAACCCTGTGAAGCAGGATGATAGGGGCTGGACAGTACCTGTGTGATGTTGAACTCCTCCAGAGTCTTCTTGAAGAGATCACTGGTGAAGTTGGTGCCACAGTCGCTTTGAACCTCTCTTGGAAATCCATACTGGGTGAAGATCTTCAATAGGTGTTTCACCACAGTAGCAGCCGTAATGTTCTTTACTGGAACTGCTATGGGGAACCTGGTGGTAGGACACATGATAGTTATTATATATGCGTTGCCAGAACTGGTCCGGGGTAAAGGACCAACACAGTCTATTATGAGTCTGTGGAAAGGTTCTGCAGGCACCTGGATGGGTTTTAGTGGAGCCTGGGGAGTAGAGATGTTAGGTTTACCTGCCATCTGACATATATGACACTCTTTTACGTATTTCTTTACGTCTTTTACCATACCTGGCCAGTAGTAGTCTTGTCTGATTCCGTGGTAGGTTTTGTTGAAGCCATAGTGAGATAGAGCTCCGTGGGCCAGGTGTAGAATATCGGGCCGTATGCTGGTGGGAATCACTAGTTGTTCGACATTGGCCCAATCGTCATCCTCCTTCAGCTTGCTGGGTCTGTATCTGCGGTAGAGCAACTCATTCTCTAGGAAGAACCCAGGGATACTGTCAGGTTGAGTCTCAGCCTGGAAGAATAATGGTGTTAATGATTGATCTTCCCTCTGTAACTTACGGAACTCCAACTTGGTAAGATTTGGAAGTAGATTCTGAGGGTCTTGAGGGACAGCGGTAGCAGTAGAGTCAGCTGGTTGCGGTCGTGCAGCTTGTGCACGGGTGGTCACCAAAACCGGAGGAGAAACTTTATCACTTTCTTGAACCTCTGCTGGAACATATTCAAAGATGGGATTATCCATTACAGAAGTACACACCTGGGGTTTGTCCGTGATGATCAGGTTGGGCGGTTGCAGATCTTCTGCCAAGTCGTTGCCAAGGAGAAGTTGCACTCCAGGCATGGGAAAAGGCTTTTCCCTGATGGCGACTTGGATTTCACCGGTCACGAAGGGACAATCCAGGTGGACTCTGGCGAGTGGATATGGAGTGATAGCAGTGAGGTCAGTGATAAGGACGGTTTCCCCGGTGTAGGCGACGTTAGGCTCAGCCGACTTTATGATAATGAACTGAAGAGCTGCTGTGTCCCTCAAGATCTTCAATTTGAAACTTCCCTCCGAATCTGTACCGTTGGTAGAGACAGTTCCGGGATACAGGTGTTTACTGAAGAGAGAAAGATAATTAACATTATCACCAACATTCATCACAGGCTTACCGGACTTAGGAGGAGTCTGTTTGGGTTTAGTAGATTCATTGCTCCTGTATTGAACCTTCACACATCTGTCTATGGTATGTCCATAGAGTTTGCAATACTTACAATACAATTGTGAGCTCGCTTGATCTGTACTCACTTTATCGTAACTGTACCAAGACTTCTTACTGGAAGGTGGTTCTGGTGTCAGCCGGTGGATGAGGCTGTTGGTGTCAGCTGACTTTGCACATTTGATGTAGTCGGTTTCTTCTTTATCTGCTAGATATAAACGGACGGAAGGGGGAACACGTCTCAAGAATTCCTCAACTAGCATGAGGTTGATGAGTTCTGCAAATGTAAAGACATCTGCTGCTTCCAGCCATTTCATAAAATATATTTTCTTTGTATTGGCAAATTCTAGAAAGGTGGTGGTACTTGCCTTAAGATGGTCACGGAATTTTCGTCTGTAGCTTTCGGTGGAGAGAAGGTAGGCGTCCAACACTGCTTGCTTCAGGGTCTGGTAGTCATTCTCAGACGCTAAGGTATTGAGAGTAACTGCAGCTCTACCTGTAAGATGCACTCTGAGAAGGGTAGACCATTGATCTGCTGGCCAGCTAAGTTGATTAGCTAGGGTCTCAAAGGTGGTAAAAAAGACGTCGATCTCTGTCTCAACGAATGGTGGCATTAACTTACTTGCATGGGAGATATTGAAACTGACGGGAAGACTGGCGGTAGCTTGCTGGCGTTGAGTGAGGTGCGTAGTTTCCAACGCGAGTTCTTGTTGACGACATTCTATAGCCATAGCAGCTTGTTGTTTGTCATGCTCGCGTTGCATCTCCAGGTGACGATGTTTTGCTTCAAGCTGTACTCTCTCACGCTCACGGAGTATTACAGTCTCACGTTCTTGTTCTTCTTTCCTCATTGCAGCTTCCTCCTTCCTCAGTTGTAGAGCTTCTTTTGCCAGGGCAGCCTCTCTTTCTCTTAGGGCCGCCTCTCTTTCTCTTAGGGCCGCCTCTCTTTCTTGCTCTTCTTTCCTCAAGGCGGCCTCTCTTTCTTGCTCTTGTTTCCTCAAGGCGGCCTCTCGTTCTTTCAGTTGTAGGGCTTCTTTTTGTTGTTCGAGGGCTTCCCTTTGTTGCTCTCGCTCGATCTTGGCAAGTTCTAGTTTGAGTTTCATAGTTGCCAAATCAGGTTTATCTGCAATAGAGTAAGTTTCGTGAGTGTCAGAGTCAATTTTCCTTTCATCTAAGAGGTAATCCATGATTAGGTTATGGATTTCATTTTTGTTGGCTCCATGGGGAACATCTAGTTGATACTCGTGTGCAAGAGTTTGTAATTCAGTCCTCTTGGCACGACATAATGTCCCTATTTCACCAGCTGGATCGTTACGGAAAGCTTGGAGACGAAACATGGTGAAAGATAGCAAATAAATGTACACGAATATAGTTGTGATATGGTAAATGTCAGAAACAGGATAACGTGGCAACTGGTAACTATCCTGTGGAATTTTAATCTTTAACAATTAAAGTTAATTATGGGATAGTAAATGATTAGTCAATCAAAGTCGCAGGAAATCTTGTACCCGGAACTCAATGTAAGAGAATAAGAGCAAGAAAATCCTACTAAATTAGTGAAACTGAGTTTCTAAAACAAATGAAACATTTAATTGCTCCAAAAGTGAATTAGGTAGTCCAAGAATGTAGGCATACCTTGCCCACTAAATGAATATGATACTTACAGAATTAGCGAACTTTGTGCTCTGTAAAAAGAAAGCTAATTCCCTACCTAAGTAAATATCATCATCTCTGACCAACGTGTAGGGGCGCAAGTGTCAACTGGTGATGAGAACTGCTACTGAGGTCCCAACTCAGCAACAAAGTCCGTGCTAGAGGAACTATGGCCCTCTTTTCCTCCTTCGGTCGGATTGCAGAAGATAGGGTGCTTTGACCCAGAGACAAACCAAAGTACCAGGGTACCAAAATGATGATCTGCCGAAAATATGAGAAATATCCTAGGGACAAAAGGTGGTAAACACGAGTAATAACACGGAGGGAGAGATGACCAATTAAGAGAATGACTGCGGCCTACAGTCACCACGTAATCCAAAGTTATCTCACACTCACCATATGCTACTCTCGGAATGCACAATACACACAGCACCAAATAAATATAAAAATTAATGATTATATTGAAAGGCTACTTTAACAAAGTGAAGTACGCTTACCACAAATTGACGTTCTGGTACTAGTACCTGAGTGAAGCTCCCGGACAGGCCCCCATTAAAACGTGACGGGAAAGTGTTGGAGTGTTGATGTTCGGCAGTCCTCCAATGGCAGGTATCAAAGCCTGGTCACACTTTAAACAAAAATATAGACTGCTTGCCTGTTGTCTGTGGTAAGTTAGAGGGAACATATGAACAATGAAACTTTAATATATTTACTTTAAACAAAAATGAAAATAAAGACAAATCTCGGGAAGTTAAATTACAGTTAAATAATAAAGAAAAATACAAAGACAATGTGAAATACAAAATTACAATGTTAAAATGGAGCTGAGAATATCGGCTATGGTGAAACCTCCCTTCGTATACGAGCTAATGAGCGAGTATGCCAGAGAGAGATGTCAACCATAAGAGCACAAGGAATATTCTGAATTAGGAATATTCTGAAGTGGATAGCTGGTCAGGCTCAGACGTCGATTCGTGTAGAGGGCGCTGAGGTGCTGTGTGCAGGTGCGCAACTGGCGAGTCACCAATCAGAGCAGGCAAGCTGGTGAAGGGTAGTTAGCTGGTTTGATGACGAGCCGGCGCATGGAGGGTGTGTGGAGTGGGGGGATCTTGGATACGTTTTGCCTCCTGGTCAAAACGTTTTGTGCTACTGGTGACGTATCTTGAATGTAGCATCTTATACTTGTGTCTTTGGCGTAACTTGAAGTAGGGAAGAGCAGGCTCAATCTCTCTTGAAAGAGATTATCGTCACAACTGTCCCCCGAAGCCTGCGGTTCCGGGTGAAGTTACGTCTTCAGGTGGTAGAGTGGTAGGTGGAGCAGCCTCTACCTCATAGATTCTGGAGAGGGCGTCTGCGATGATGTTGTCAGAACCCTTGATGTAGAAGATCTCCAGGTTGAAATTCTGCAGATATAAAATCTTCTGCATCGTAGAAGCCGTTGGTTGTTGAATTGGGCTTGCTGCAGGAAGCGTAGGGGATTGTGGTCCGAATAGATGGTGATAGACCGAGCACTTTGCAGGTACGGTTCGAAGTGCTGCAGGTTCAGGACGATTGATAGTAGCTCCTTCTCGATCGTGCTGTAGTTCCTTTGGTGTGGCTTTAATTTATGGCTGTAGTAGCTACAAGGCAGAATCTCCTCGCCTCGTTGTTGCATCAGGACACCCCTGATGCCGGTACCACTGGCGTCGACATGGAGGATGAAAGGCTTCGTTATATCTGGCGAGGCGAGAATAGGATTAGAACAGAGCAGGTATTTAAGTTGTTCAAAAGCAAGCAGATTGAGCAGGCTCAATCTCTCTTGAAAGAGATTATCGTCACAAGTTATTTAGGTTAGGTTAAGATAGGTTAGGTTCGGTCATATAGCTACGTTAGTTTTAACTCAAATTTAAACAAATTAACTTAAACATAATGAAATGGACAGATTTATCATTTCATAAGAATTTTGTTAGAAAAATATACAAATTCCGGAAAACTTTGCTCATTAGAGAAATCGGCCCTTGCATAGTAAGCCGAGTTCGACGTTCTGACTACTAGGTACAACATGTATATAATCATTAAGGAAACAATTTTTTAAAATATATATAAGCATAGAAATTTGCTGATATGATTATAAAATAATTTAGTGCAATACAATCATTTAATGTGATGTTGTTTGTATAAATTTTAAGTAAATGTTTTCTACCAATTTATTTGCACTGTATTACTTTCCTTTTAGTTAATTATATGGAAACAGGCTGGAGACACGTTTGATTGAAAAAAAATTCCAAAGTTATCCAAAAGCTTAAGAAAAGACAAACACAAATCTGGTATGAACATACATATCATTGACAGCCAAAACCTACCAGTCATAGTCCCAACCGACTTTAAGGCTGGATTTTTATCATCAGCTCATGCAACACAATATCTATGGTGAATGGAGCTAAATTCAGACATTTCTTAGAAAAATTTCAACTGGAACCTCTGGATTTAGGTACAGCCTGCATAGGGAGTCCAGGAAACAGATCTCATAGTTCATATAACGGTTAGCTAATGAATTTTAAAACCAATTTATTTTATCCCCCAAGTAACCATAATTTAATGCATTCCACTCAGCATAATATAACCTAATATAATAATCTAATATACACTAGGTTAGGATACCTAGCCTAACCTAACTGTATATACATACAATGAGAAAGTGAGCTGTGTGAGAAACGCCTGTGTTTAATTATATACCTTTTTCAATAGCCAGAGTTGTTTTAGTGCTTAGTTATTATTTCATAAAATCTTCCGCGCATTAACCGGTATCATATAAATATTATCAGTCAGGAAACTCCCCCGGAACATACAGGTGGGTCTGAACTGAGAGACTATATAAACCCTCCATTTCCACAGGAATCACAATGATACTTCATCGACACCAGAGTGTGATGGCGGTGGTCACCATGCTGGCTAGTGCTGCTCCAGTATGTGGTCAGCAAGTTGGTGGGCCCAGAGTGCAGGTGGGCGAGATGGTGGGTCGGGTGGCGGAGGAGGTGGGCGAGATAGTGGGTCAGGTGCTAAAGCACCGTGTTTCAGACTGTCACCTGGTTCTTATCACAACTGCTCGTCACTCACCTGTCCTTTCTTTACTGTTGAGGTAAATTTCTGTAGCACTGAGCTGCTAATATATACACTGTTATATATTGTGCATTTTATTTGCCTCCAAATGTATTATAAAGATATTTGATCTCGTTAGACAATCGATTATTACTGGGACTGCTTATGTGGTCGTGGAGACGGGGTCAGTGGTCTCCCAGGACCAGGTGACCCGGGACCACCTCCTCCAGCAGCTATGGGGAGACGCCACAACCACCTGCCGGGGACTCGTCCTCGACCTCACCTCCACCACCACAAACATCACCAACAACACTTTAAGGTAAAAATTTTGATTTGGATTTGGTCCAGCGCCATCACGGCCTCAGTTTATTCTGTAATCTTTCAGAATGCTTCAAGTTTACTCTAATCCCCAGAGGTGACCTTTGTACAAATATTGGTAGCAAGTTTGGAGAGATAAATGATATTATAATTATTATATTCTTTGTGGGGTTACAATGTTTCGAAAATATTAATATGCTAAATCCGAGTTCTATTTATATTATGTATTAGTTTTAAGTAGCAGCAAAAAATAAACAGTTTGCTTATACATTCAAACATTCATTAATATTTATATCGACTTACTGCTTAAAAAACATAATACAAAATCATTTCTGGTGTGTAAGCAGTCACTAACAGATGGGAAGCTTCCTTCACCTCAGGTTACTGGAGGAAAGTGATATGTGGCAGCTGCCGGAAACTGTGGTGGTGGCCGTGGGCGGGAGGACAGGGGTGAGGGCAGTGCTCCTCCACCACAGTCTCCGCAACACCCGCCACGCCCTCTACCTCGCCCTCCACCACCACACCCTCCACCTCGCTCTCCACCACTACCCCTCTCTCAACATCCTCCTGCCACAGGGTATTTCAAGGCTCGAGAAGGTCCATGGAATGAAAGGCCAGTTGTTTTAATTTTCTTGGGTAATTGGTTGGTTTTCGGCCTTAGGCTTTGCATTGAAACCTGTTAGTTTCTCAGCTCACAATTTATAATATATTTTCGTAAATAAACATTAAATGTTTACAAGACAATTCATAGTGGCAAATTTCCCTAATATTTCTTGTCATATAAAAAAATAATTGCAAAAATAGTGATCAAGATAAAATATATTTAGTTGCTGCTGTTGTAGAAGCAAGTAGCTGCTTGCTGATCTACCGCCGGTGTCTCTACTGCAACAACGGGCAGAACGGCGTTCAGGTTATCCTTCACAACTACTTAAACTTCCCTGAACTATATGACAACATCTTAACTATCAATGGTAAAGACTTCTATATTAAACACAATTTAAATATTTGAACATGATATTTTCTTTTTATCTAGCATAAGAAGCAAAGAAAGCTTATTCAATAATTTGTAAACAGATTTTATTGAAGATATTTTGCTTATAAGGCTTAAAAATTTGGTGTTACTAAATAGCATTTTCAATGATGTTATTATCATTACACAGAAGATCTCCAGGACATGAGAGGACACAAGTTCCTGCTCACAACTCGACCATACTTCCCGTACTGTGACTATTATGCTGTTAATAATAAACCCGAAGCCTTGGTTATCCTCAAGGACTCCCTCGACACCCGGATCCTCAATATCTTTGCCATGAAGCTGAATTTTAGGTAATCATTTGTGCCTGTTAACTGTATAGTCTTGCTCAGAATGCTAAGGCCGCTGTCCACAATAACTTGTAGGTTATTGTGGATAGTATGTAGATGGGGTACCGGGCAATGGGTAATTGATATGTCCAGTATCCAGGTAACCCCCACACAGCCTTATCCTTACACTTGCCTCAACCATTCTTACCCAAAACACACTCCCATCCCAGGCACCAGCTGCCCCCTGATGCTACCACTTCCCTGCTAACCCCACAACAAGAACAACCCCATAATCAAAGGGATCCACGTCTATCTCGAACATCTACACTATCTTGATCAGCACCTTTCTCTAGAAATGTCTCTCAATCTAGAAATGCAGCAACCATACTCAAAAGTCTCCCTATTATAACAACATAACAGGGTATTATGGAAGGCACGAGTATCCTGATGGTACAGTAACCCTGAATGTTAATGACATATTTGCAGTACAGGTAGATTACACTTCCTACAACGTTGAAACACCTAATGACTATTCTTTAAAAATCGTAACATATAATATTAAGGAGTACTTTAACATTTGATGCCATGTGGCAGAGATTATTGAGAATGAGAGACCTGACGTGCTGCTTATGAACACACATTATGAACTTATATAAAATCAGACATTTTGGCTACACCACACACCAGTCATCTGAGGAAGCACTTGCGGGAGTTGGAATATTAACAAAGTCCACATTTAAACATGAACTTTTACAAACACGTTGGCATCAAAAACATTTCATGGTCATTGAGATACACACACACGAAGGACCACTAATCATTTGCACAACATATATCCGGTCTTGTATACCAAGACCTAACAAGACTTTTCAATCACACTAACATATCTGTCAATCGGATGTCAGACCTCAGTGTCCAATATCATACATTCCACGATATCAACATAAATCTCTATGGTCAACAACTGTGCCAACCATACGTACAAAAAACATTTTCCTTAGACCTGACTTCCCCACATCTTTTTAACGAACTGTATCTGGTATAGCTGATCTTATTCTTGCTAATAGACCAGGCAGATATCTTCAACGCTGCATAACACGTAGATCTCTCTCAGGGTCTCATCACATTCATATGACACTACGTCTTTTCCCCACAAAAATGGAGAACATTACACTACTCCCAACTTTTCCCACAAAAATGGCCAACTGAAATGCATTGAAACAAATAATAGATGACAATGATTTAGCATATGCATAAAAGAAACCCTCCACTGACACAAACAACCTGGTCCACAAAATAGAAAACATAATTACACTACCAACAGTAACATTTATACCCAAAGTAACACACAATGCACAATTCACTTTCACCCCATCCATTAGGTCACAACATCATATCGTCAGTAAAAAGGGCTTTATCAAAAGTGGGCACCAAGCCGAGAAGACTCTGTAGCACGAAAAAATGTGCGGGATATTAAAAAAGCACAAAATATAAGTAAAGATGCCAGTACAAGAACAAAAATGCATAAATCAAACGATGTCAAAGGTATCTGATTCACCAACTATTCTATTGCAGGACAAGTAACTGCAAGGGGCAGTTGGAAAGCAAGACACACGTACATCCTGGAAGTCAGGTTGTTGTTGCTTTAGTTTCAGCTACACGGAAGAAAAGTTCCGTGTAGAACTTTCTCTTCTACGTTCTCTCTCTTAGACATCTGGTCTGCCCGAGGTCGCCAGCAGGGTGTTTATAATTGTATCCCAGCAACACGTCAGTGGTCTCATTAATTATCTTAAATCAAGGATGCAATCTCATGTGCAGTGAAGGTGACAAATGGTTTCACTCAAAATAGCCCTAGAGAATGGAGGCTCACTCAGACACATTGGTAAGATTAAAAGTTTACTGAAGAAAATATATACACTTGTATAAGGAAATAATATAGGTGGAATTGTCCGTTGGCAGCAACACTCCTCTCATTCCATATCTAGCAACATGGTCAGCTGACTGGGTCCACTCATCCGTTGGCGGGCACACACCTCGCACCTCTGGCAACATGGTCAGCTGTCTGGGTCCACTCATCCGTTGGCGGGCACACACCTCGCACCTCTGGCAACATGGTCAGCTGACTGGGACCAACTGTCAGAGGGCGGGACACACTTCGCACCTCTGGCAACACGATCAGCTGGGCGATTCAAAGTTCGTTTCTGGCTTCTTGAAAACCAGCTGCTACTTCCAGATACACTAACGTCACCGCATCTATATATTTATGTTCCACCACCAACTCATGCCTACATGAGCTCCTTGGTTCCATGCCTAACACTATCACATAGACAAAAAATGATAACAAGAAATGTTCACGATATACAGAATAACCTTGCTCGCCTAGATCAAAGGGGTAAAGGTAGGGATAACTATCTACCTCACATCATTCCATTACGAAGCCGACTCGTCCTCTGGCGAAGGATGATGAGGTTCCTGGTCCTGGCTTCTGGTCTTCCTTTGATCAGTTCCCACACACACAGGTTCCTCAGTCGTCCGTGTAGTAGCGTGTCCTCGCTGTCCTCAAACCTGGCAGGTACGGTCCTCCTCCTCCTCTTCCTCGTGGTACTGGAGTCAGATACCTACGCCGTCGTCCTCCTCCTCCTCTCACTGGCACTGTATATCCAATTTGCAGCCCCTCCCCTTGCCTCACTTCCAGTAGATTCGGCCCGGCCGTAGCTACTCGCTTGATATGTAGAACGTGGTCCTCTGGGCGTCCCAGATGTCTCCAGCCTTAGGTTCGTTCCTGCTACAGACTCTTGATACTAGAGCTCTTGACTCTCTAGCCCGGCCAATCCTTGCTCCTTGGGACTCCACGGAATGTCTGCAGTATCAAAGCGATGCTTAAATCCACTGGTAGGGGCTCACTGGCCTCTAGATCTGGAGCTCACAGGAACGCGTCCCCACTCTGTGACGAACTGTGACGTACTCTCTTGGCTCAGGCGCCAGCCGCCCCGGAAGTCCTCCGCCTCATGGGGTGTATATATATATATATATATATATATATATATATATATATATATATATATATATATATATATATATATATATATATATATATATATATATATATATATATATATATATATATATATATATATATATATATATATATATATATATATATATATATATATATATATATATATATATATATATATATATATATATATGTCGTACCTAGTAGCCAGAACTCACTTCTCAGCCTACTATTCAAGGCCCGATTTGCCTAATAAGCCAAGTTTTCCTGAATTAATATATTTACTATAATTTTTTTCTTATGAAATGATAAAGCAACCCTTTTCTCTATGTATGAGGTCAATTTTTTTTATTGGAGTTAAAATTAACGTAGATATATGACCGAACCTAACCAACCCTACCTAACCTAACCTAACCTATATTTATAGGTAAGGTTAGGTTAGGTAGCCAAAAAAAGCTAGGTTAGGTTAGGTTAGGTAGGTTAGGTAGACGAAAAAACATTAATTCATGAAAACTTGGCTTATTAGGCAAATCGGGCCTTGAATAGTAGGCTGAGAAGTGCGTTCTGGCTATTAGGTACGACATATATATATATATATATATAATATATATATATATATATATATATATATATATATATATATATATATATATATATATATATAAGCCTATACTTGCATAAACCACAAGTGAAGATAAACAATCTTTGGACAACACCCACCAGTGGGACTCGAACCCAGAAAGCACAACTACCTTCCAGTAGCTGGCATAACTAGTATGCTTTAACCCACTACGCCATCAGACCTTACAAAAGAAGTAGATAGTTCGAGATATATATATCTCAAACATCTCTACCTCCCGAAGGCACCAGATGAGTGAGGGGTCAGTCTGCAATTTTCGTCAAGCCACTGTCAATGTGAGAGAACTCGTGTCCAGCTTATAAGCCTATACTTGCATAAACCACAAGTGAAGATAAACAATCTTTGGACAACACCCACCAGTGGGACTCGAACCCAGAAAGCACAACTACCTTCCAGTAGCTGGCATAACTAGTATGCTTTAACCCACTACGCCATCAGACCTTACAAAAGAAGTAGATAGTTCGAGATATATATATCTCAAACATCTCTACCTCCCGAAGGCACCAGATGAGTGAGGGGTCAGTCTGCAATTTTCGTCAAGCCACTGTCAATGTGAGAGAACTCGTGTCCAGCTTATAAGCCTATACTTGCATAAACCACAAGTGAAGATAAACAATCTTTGGACAACACCCACCAGTGGGACTCGAACCCAGAAAGCACAACTACCTTCCAGTAGCTGGCATAACTAGTATGCTTTAACCCACTACGCCATCAGACCTTACAAAAGAAGTAGATAGTTCGAGATATATATATCTCAAACATCTCTACCTCCCGAAGGCACCAGATGAGTGAGGGGTCAGTCTGCAATTTTCGTCAAGCCACTGTCAATGTGAGAGAACTCGTGTCCAGCTTATAAGCCTATACTTGCATAAACCACAAGTGAAGATAAACAATCTTTGGACAACACCCACCAGTGGGACTCGAACCCAGAAAGCACAACTACCTTCCAGTAGCTGGCATAACTAGTATGCTTTAACCCACTACGCCATCAGACCTTACAAAAGAAGTAGATAGTTCGAGATATATATATCTCAAACATCTCTACCTCCCGAAGGCACCAGATGAGTGAGGGGTCAGTCTGCAATTTTCGTCAAGCCACTGTCAATGTGAGAGAACTCGTGTCCAGCTTATAAGCCTATACTTGCATAAACCACAAGTGAAGATAAACAATCTTTGGACAACACCCACCAGTGGGACTCGAACCCAGAAAGCACAACTACCTTCCAGTAGCTGGCATAACTAGTATGCTTTAACCCACTACGCCATCAGACCTTACAAAAGAAGTAGATAGTTCGAGATATATATATCTCAAACATCTCTACCTCCCGAAGGCACCAGATGAGTGAGGGGTCAGTCTGCAATTTTCGT